CCCTGCCCCCCACCCCCGGCCCGGGTCAGGGTCGGGCCGCCCAGCTCGGCGCCCCCCCACGTCCTCGCGGATGGTTAGGGTCGTTGTAGGCCGGACAGTTAATCCCTGGGACATCGAGGCCGAGGGAGCTGAGCTCGCGGGTTCACTGCCGGCACCCAGCTGCCACCAGACCGGCTCCTGGCAGTGTCTCCAACGGCCCCGCTGCCCGCCCGCACGTGTGGAGCCCGAGCGGACCTCCCGCGTGGAGTCCCAGCCCCTGACACCCTGCAGGCCCCTTCCCGCCCCCGAGGAGTCCTGCAGGTAGCCACGGGGCAGCGGGCCACCCTTGCCTTGCCGGGAGCATGGGTGTTTGTGACGGTTGGGCCTTCCAGAGGGCACGGGTGGCATGCGGAGAGGCCTGTGGGTGGCCGCCCAGGGGCTTCTCTCCCACTTTATGTGCTGTATGGTCTAACTGCAGGGCATTTCTGATCGGGGAGCCAAGGTCCGCGCCCCAGGCTGCCCACGGTGGTGTGGGACCTCCCCACTTCCTGAGTGTGGTGACTCGCGGGTCTTCCTGCCTCCATGTGGCCCCTGCCACAAGCTGGGCCCTGCCACAGGGGAGCAGCCCGGGCTGGGCGCTGGGCTTCACCTTCAGTCCCACAGTGACAAGGGGGGGTCATGCCCCAGGACCTGGGCACCGAGTGCCCCGGAGGGTGGCTTCCGTCTGGTGAGCGCCACTCCTGTGAGCCAGGCCCTCCACCGGCTCGGTGGGAATCACCGCTTCGTGGTCAGCACAACGCCAGGCGAGGGTGATGCCCGCCCCGCCGACAGATGAGGAAGCGCACTGTGGTGGGCCGGCTTGCCAGCACGTGCCCCCGCGTGGGGTCACCGGGAGCCTGGGCTGTGGGTGTGCTGTCCCTCCCCACCCCCACGCCAGGCCCTGGCTTCAGAGAGAGCAGCTGCAGAAGAGGCGCCGGATGCTGGCGGGGACCAGGCACCAGGGAAGGTGGTCTGTGCTCGGTGGGTCGTGGCACCCAGCCAGGACCGCTGGGAGGATGCCGGACTAGGGGTTCATCAAGAAGAGACAGGCCGGCACAGTTGGGGTCCTGCTTAGTGTGCGGCCCTTCCCTGGGTGCTGGCCGGCTTGGGCCTACCCCGCGCCAGGCTCAGCTGAGCCCTCCGCTCAGCTCACCGGGGCTGCCCCAGCGCCGGCGGCTTCAGCACCTTGGCCAGCACCGGGGATTCTGGGCCGGGGCTGGAGGGCTGGGGAAGGGCCGGGGTGAAGCCTCCGCCATTTCCCTCTTCCCTTGGCTTGCACAGGGCTCGCCAGTCACCTCCGTGGTCCGTGATTCCTGCTCCTCCCTCTGCGGGTATCCTCCCCACCAGGACTCTGTCCCGGTGCTCCATCCTTCACCGGATGCCTCTCCCAGCCCCACAGGGCACCAAGCACCCTGCTTCCTGCACTGGCCCTCCTGGAGGCTCCGCGGCGGCCAGGAGAGCCCCAGAGCCAGTGGGTCCCAGAGCTCTGCTTGGGCCGCAGGGCCGGCTCCTCCCCCAGCCCCAGGCCCCGCCCCGCTCCACTCGCGGCGGCTCCTCCCCCAGTCCCAGGCCCCGCCCC